ACTGCTAGGGTGACAGTATGTAAAAAAAAAAAAAAAATAAAAAATAATAATATAAAAAAATAAAATAAAAATGTAAAAAAAAAATGTTTAAAAATTATAATTTTTGGTTATAAACTAATTTGGATTTTTTTTTTTACTAAAAAGATAACGGAATAATGGCTAAGATTTATGATGAAATATTATTTATTTGCAAAATTTTATAAAAAAAACACTTTTTTTCAAAATTTTTGGACATTTCATTTACATAGCAAAAAAAATACAAATCCCAGTGGTGAATAAATACCACCAAAATAAAGCTTTATCTGTCTCAAAAAAATGGTAAAAAATTCATTTGGGTACAGTGTTGCATGACCGCGCAATTGTCATTCAAAGTGTGATAGCGCTAAAAGCTGAAAATTGCCCTGGACTGGAAGTGGGTGAAAGTGTCCGGACTGGAAGGGGGGGGAAAGTGTCCGGACTGGAAGGGGGGGAAAGTGTCCGGACTGGAAGGGGGGGAAAGTGTCCGGACTGGAAGGGGGGGAAAGTGTCCAGACTGGAAGGGGGTAAAAGTGTCCGGACTGGAAGGGGGTAAAAGTGTCCGGACTGGAAGGGGGGGGAAAGTGTCCGGACTGGAAGTGGGTGAAAGTGTCCGGACTGGAAGGGGGGGGAAAGTGTCCAGACTGGAAGGGGGGGAAAGTGTCCGGACTGGAAGGGGGGGAAAGTGTCCAGACTGGAAGGGGGTAAAAGTGTCCGGACTGGAAGGGGGGGTAAAAGTGTCCGGACTGGAAGGGGGTAAAAGTGTCCGGACTGGAAGGGGGGGAAAGTGTCCGGACTGGAAGGGGGGGAAAGTGTCCGGACTGGAAGGGGGGGAAAGTGTCCAGACTGGAAGGGGGTAAAAGTGTCCGGACTGGAAGGGGGTAAAAGTGTCCGGACTGGAAGGGGGTAAAAGTGTCCGGACTGGAAGGGGGGGAAAGTGTCCGGACTGGAAGGGGGTAAAAGTGTCCGGACTGGAAGGGGGGGAAAGTGTCCGGACTGGAAGGGGGTGAAAGTGTCCGGACTGGAAGGGGGGGAAAGTGTCCGGACTGGAAGGGGGTGAAAGTGTCCGGACTGGAAGGGGGTGAAAGTGTCCGGACTGGAAGTGGTTAATGGTCAATGCTGAGTCAATGCCGAAGGCGTGACGTATCTCCTGTCCATCCTTCTTCTCCTTAGTTACAGACAATGAATTGTCGTGTCTGCTTGTCTCCTGCAGCACCTAAAAATAGCCCTTTTTGTATTTCCGTATATATATATATATATATATTTTTTTTCCTTCGCTGCCTAAACCTACTTTGTCTTCTCAGTTTTTCACTTAAACTAATGGTCAGGAAGAGAGATCATCACACCAACAGCCCTCCGGGAAACAATTTCACCCTCATTTTCGTTGATCTCTCTATTGATTTTAAAATGTACATTTCCTCTTCCTCCATTATATCTATCACCTGTTTGGCATTTATGGCACTGGTCTAATTTTTTGGGGGGGACTTTGCAAAGCAATGCTGTTGATATTATTGCATCTTGCCTCCCCCCCCCCCCCCCCCCCGAGAAGAGCTGTGACGTCAACGATCTTATCAAACTGTACTAAAGTTTTTTGTTTAACCACTTGCCCTCCAGAGGATTTACCCCCCTTAATGACCAGGCCTCTTTTTGCTACTCGGCGCTGCACTAATTCAACTGATAATTGCGCGGTCATGCAATGCTGTACCCAAACGAAATTTACGTCCTTTTTTTCACACAAATAGAGCTTTCTTTCGGGGGTATTTGATCACCTGTGCGCTTTTTATTTTTCACGCTATAAACAAAAAAAGGCCAAAAATTTTTGAAGAAAAACAATATTTTTTACTTGCAGCTATAAAAAAATATATAGTAAACTCAAAGTTGGTTATACATTTAGGCCAAAATGTATTCTGCTCCATGTTTTTGGTAAAAAAAATCCCAATAAGTGTATATTGATTGCTTTGTGTGACAGTTATAGCGTCTACAAACTATGGTATAAATACTGCAATTTACGCCATTTTTCTGCTATACAGCGCTGCGCTAGTTTAACGGACAATTGCGCGGTAATGCAATACGGTACATAAATGAAATTTACATCCTTTTTTTCCCCACAAATTGAGCTTTCTTTCCGGTGGTATTTGATCGCCTGTGCGGTTTTTATTTTTTTGCGCTATAAAAAAAAAGGCTGACAATTTTGAGGAAAAAAAAAAAATATTTTGGACTTTTTGCTATAAAACATGTCCAGTAAAAAAAAATGCAAAAATCAAATTTAGTCATAAATTTCTGCCAAAATGCATTCTGAGACATGTCTTTGCTAAAAAAAAAACAATACGTGTAAATTAATTGGTTTACGTGAAAGTTATAGCGTTTACAAATGGCGGGAAAGATACTGGGATTTTTTTTTTTTTTTTTTTATACTAATAATGGCGGCGATCAGCGAATTATGGCGGCGATCAGTGACTTATGGCAGCGACCAGTGACTTATGGCAGCGACCAGCGACTTATGGCGGGACTGCGGGACTGCGGCGACATTCTGACATTGGGGGGTACTGACTTGGGGTCACTGACATCCCCAAAAACACTAATATAGTGATCAGTGCAAAAAAAAAAACCCACTGACACTGTACTAATGGCACTGGGGAGGAAGGGGTTAACTTTATTTTGCAGGGAAGGGTTATAGGAGTGAGGGTGTTTTACTAGGGGGCGGGGTGTGTACTGGATGGGACAAGGCTGATCGAGAGAGAGAAACTCTTCTTTCTCGATCAGCTCGTCCTCGAGCTGACAGGGAAGTGACAGACAGCACAGCTACTGCAGCTGTGCTCTCTGTCACTGTTTACCGCCGCTAAGGACCGGCTGTGACCCGGCGACTGACATCCACGGCGGTGATCGGTGGGACAGATAGGGCGGCGGCGCGCCTCGCGCGTGCCCCCTATTTGTTTACAAAACACACGTTTTAAAACGTGGTTTTGCCTGCCAGTGCCGCCCTGCCGCCGTATTTCTACAGTGGCAGGGCGACAAGTGGTTAATGTTTCATTTGACCTTAGTGAGGCACTGCCTGGCAGAATTTCAGGTAATCTAGGTAAGGAGATCTAGGGTTTGTGTATGGTATGAAGAAAGAAAACGATTTGTTAGAATCCTAATAAGTTCTGTTCTGGGTCCTGGAGCCCGGGGCCTTGGTTAGGCTTTGGGTGAGATGAAACCTACATTCCTACCCACATGGAAGAAAAATATATTTCAAATGTATTTTAAAAATATTCTTCCCAAATATATTGCCATCTATTTGAAATACTACAATTTTGGCCACATTCAATATATTTCAATATATATATATTTCAATAAATAAATATATATATATATATACACACTGCATGTTGAAATGCGTCTTATTACAAAATAGATGAAAAACTGCTGACACAAACATAAAAAAGCCAGGTTGGAGTTTGCCAAAAGTTACCTGAGGAAGCCAAAATTCTTTTGGGGAGAATGTGCTGTGGACAGACAAAACCAAATGACAGCTTTTTCGTATAGCCCATCATTCTACTGTTTTCAGAAAAGCAATAAGGCCTGTAAAGAAAAGTCCCCACCATCAAACATGGTGGGGGGTCACTGATGTTTTGGGGTGGTTTTGCTGCTTCAGGCACTGGATGTCTTGACTGTGTGCATAGCGTTATGAAATCTGAAGGCTACCAAAGAATTCTGGGGTGCAATGTAGGTCCCGGTGTCAGAAAGTTGGGTCTCCGTCAGAGGTCATGGGTCTTACAGCAGGACAATGACCCAAAACACACATTAAAAAGCCCCTAGAAATAGTTTCATATAAAGCGCTGGAGAGGATTGAACTGGCCAGCAATGAGTCCAGATCTCAATCCCACAGAGCTCCTGTGGAGAGATCTCAAAACAGCAGTTGGGAAAAGGAACCCTTCCAATCCGAGAGACCTGGTGTAGTTGGCGAAAGAAGAGCGCTCCAAAATTCCAGTAGAAAGGTGGAAGAAACTCATTGATGGTTACAGGAAGCGACTGATTTCAGTTATTATTTCCAAGAGGTGTGCTACCAAATATTAAATTGAAGGTGTCAATAATTTTGTCCAGTCCATTTTTGGGGTTTTGTGTGGAATGTGTCAGATTTGGCCTTTTGCCTCTCCACTTTCTTTGTATTATACCGATACAAACAGAAGAAATAACCACGAGAATGCCGAAATTTGTAATTGTAACAACGTTTTTGGGTGAAGTGGTGCGTTATCTGACAGAAATGCAGGAATGCCAATATTTTTGGCCAAGATTGTATAGGTGTAGTCACACAGGAATTCCGTCTGTCTACTTCATGTCATACAAGAAGGCTCCATTCCAGATGTTCCGTGTCACATCTGAGTGTAGTATGCGGGATGGCATCACTTCCTGGCCCGCAACATCAACAGGCAGAGGGCTTTTTGAAATCCCTTCCCCATAGTTTGGTCGATGAAGGGACTCCGGGGTGCCGGGTCTGACAACAATGGCTATGACCTCCCTTGGTGGCCAGGCTCTCTTTGAACAATCAGAATGCAGACACTCCTAGTGGTTGGGGGTATCTGTAGATAGGTGGGGGGGGTGCACAATTTGAGATTAGACACTCAGGTCTATTGGGAGGAAAGAGGTGGGTAGATGATGCTTTGGATTTCCTCCTATTCTAGTATATGGTATGGAAAATGCATTACCGAATGCACAGTAATATGTGAGGCACATTGTGGTGTATTAACCACTTCCCAACCAGCCGTTGTATATAAACGGCCAGACGGTGGCAGTGCAGAGTCGGGTGGCTGTTTATAAACGGCCTCCCCCCGCACCCTGCTCCCAGGGAGCACGCAGCACCGCGATCCGGTGCCCGCTGTGTCCTCCGGACACAGTAAAACACCAATCGTCGACGGGACCTCTGTATGAGTTCCCAATCACAGTGATCGCAGTGATCATAGGCAAAGTAGTAAGTAAGATGTCACTTGTGACATCATTGCTTACTATGTGTGAAATCTGTGAATGATCACAGAGGTCACATGGTACATGGCCATTCACAACAGCCTTGTACCATGTGACAAGCTGTGACCAATCACAGCTCACTCAGTACTTCTCAATGACTGCAAGAATGCAGACAGAGAGAAAGAGAAATTATTGCTTTTACATCCTATATGGGTGTAAAAGCAATCAGTGTAAAAAAAAAAAAATCTTCATCACCCCCTACAAGTAGTACAGTGTTACCATGGTGACACTGTACTGCTAGGGTGACAGTAAGTAAAAAAAAAAAAATTTAAAAAATAATAATATTAAAAATAAAATAAAAATGTTAAAAAAAAGTTTCAAAATTATAATTTTTGGTTATAAACTAATTTGGATTTTTTTTTTTTTTTACTAAAAAGATAACGGAATACATTTTGGCCAAGATTTATGATGAAATGCTATTTATTTGCAAAATTTTATTTAAAAAACAGTTTTTTTTCAAAATTTTTGGACTTTTTCATTTACATAGCAAAAAAAATAAAAATCCCAGCGGTGAATAAATACCACCAAAATAAAGCTTTAGCTGTCTCAAAAAAATGGTAAAAAAATTAATATGGGTACAGTATTGCACGACCGCGCAATTGTCATTCAAAGTGTGATAGCGCTGAAAGCTGAAAATTGCACTGGTCAGGAAGGGGGTAAAAGTGTCCGGACTGGAAGTGGTTGAGGTACCGTTCATTTTAATGTGCATATTTTAGACGCACATATAGGAACATGAAGGCTGGATTCACATCTTTATATTAACCTTTGGATAACAGACTGCAAAATGTATTCCTGCACCACACAGTAATGTATAAACCAAGTTGGGGTGTGTTGAGGTTCCATCCATTTTGATGCTCATGTTTTAACATGCCACAACGCACAAGTAAAGTAGGAGCCATTAAAAAATTGTCCACTTCAAGTCCAGAAACTTTCACCCCCCTCCAGTCCGGACACTTTCCTCCCCTTCCAGTCCGGACACTTTCACCCCCCTCCAAGTCCGGACACTTTCACCCCCTTCAGTCCCCCCTTCACACTTTCACCCCCTTCCAGTCCTCACACTTTCACCCCCTTCCAGTCCGGACACTTTCCCCACCTTCCAGTCCGGACACTTTCACCCCCTTCAAGTCCGGACACTTTCACCCCCTTCCGGTCCGGACACTTTCACCCCCTTCCAGTCCGGACACTTTCACCCCCTTCCAGTCCGGACACTTTCACCCCCTTCAAGTCCGGACACTTTAACCCCTTCCAGTCCGGACACTTTCACCCCCTTCCAGTCCAGACACTTTCACCCCCTTCCAGTCCGGACACTTTCACCCCCCTTCCAGTCCGGACACTTTCACCCCCTTCAAGTCCGGACACTTTCACCCCCCCTTCCAGTCCAGGCCAAGTTTTCAGCTTTCAGTACTGTCACACTTTGAATGACAATTGCGCGGTCATGCAACACTGTACCCATATGAATTTTTTTGCATTTTTTTGAGACAGATAAAGCTTTATTTTGGTGGTATTTATTCACCGCTGGGATTTTTATTTTTTTGCTATATAAATGAAAAAGTCCAAACATTTTGAAAAAAACGTGTTTTTCTTATACAATTTTGCAAATAAATAATCTTTCTTCATAAATCTTGGCCAAAATGTATTCATCTATCTTTCTAGTAAAAAAAATAACCCAAATTTGTTTATTACCAAAATTTATAATTTTTCAAAAACATTTTTTACATTTTTATCTTATTTTTTATCTTATTATTTATGGTTTTTTTTTTCACATACTGTCACCCTAGCAGTACAGTGTCACCATAGTGACACTGTACGACTTGGGGGGTGATGAAGATTTTTTTTTTTCTTTTTTTTCTATTTTTACACTGATTGCTTTTACACCCACAAAGGCTGTAAAAGCAATAATTTCTCCTTCTCTCTGGCTGCATTCCTGCAGCCATTGAGAAACACTGCGAGAGCTGTGATTGGTCACAGTTTATCACATGGTACAAGGCTGTTGTGAATATCCCTGTACCATGTGATCTCTGTGATCATTCACAGATTTCACAAATAGTAAGAATGATGTCAGAAGTGACATCTTGTTTACTACTCTGCATGTGATAACTGATTGGACAATCAGTGATCACATGATCGGGACCTCACACAGATCGGTGCCATGCGCTCCCAGGGAGCGTGCACGGGCAATAGATGCGGGGGGACATCCACCCACATTGGCAGCGCTCCCCTCCGGCAGTTTATGTACATGGGCCGGACGGGAAGTGGTTAAGTATGTTGTGGTTAAATGTGGTTTACAATGGTTTGTGAACCACTAAAATGAAAAATGAACAAAGCATATCCTTCTATAGCAGGGGTGGGCAACTGCAGCCCTCCAGCTGTTGTAGAACTACACGTCCCATGAGGTATTGCAAGATTGACATTTACAAGCATGATTCCCAGAGACAGAGGCATGATGGGAAAGCTAAACGTTACTTCCAGAGCCAGAGGCATGATGGGAAGGCTAAACGTTACTTCCAGAGCCAGAGGCATGATGGGAAGGCTAAACATTACTTCCAGAGGCATGATGGGAAGGCTAAACGTTACCTCCAGAGCCAGAGGCATGATGGGACTTTTTTCGCCAACAGGTGGAGGGCAGCAGCTGCCCATCTCCGTTCAATAGTGTTTACTTGCCTAAATCCACATCACCTGGCTCCATTTCTGGCTACCTCTGTTCCACTTCTGACAGTTTATGCTGAAACCAATCAATCCCAGGAGATGTCTTCCACCACCACCATACAGTAGATGATTGACAGTCTCAGCTGTGCATGTTTCCCTGTAAGATTGTGTAGAGAAGGGTGTGTCCATTCCCTTCACTCAGGTGTCAGATTACACTCAGCTCCTTGCTCTATGCTCTGCAGTGTGTGACATCACACCCCCTTCCCCTCTAAAACTCAGAAATGCTGTGTGAATTATTGCGTGCCGGTAAACAGGTCCAACTTATGTAGGAGGAAATATTTCATCTCTGTATATTGCCTGAGGCTAATCAGTTCTGTGGGTACGGGTTTACATCCACTTTAACAAAATTCTTTAATGTGATACACAATAACAACACAAAATACCAAAGATTAAAGTGGTTGTAAACCCTTACATATATCCAGTGATCTGACTGACCTAAGGTGATACACAGAGATGAAACAAATCCTTCTAGATAAGTTGTACCCGATTATCTGCCGGAGTTTGTTTTCCACATCTGTCTAGAGTCCAGAATTTATAAAGCGTGTCTGAGCTGTCAGAAAAAAGAGGTCAGAGATCCTAATTCAGAACTAAAAAAAACTTCTTTACATGTCCTTGTTGGTGATTTCCTACCTTCACTGAATATGTCATCCATCTTTTGGTTCACTCAGTAGTTGCTCTGAAATATCCTATTCATTTTCAAATCAAACTGAATATTCTCTTTGGTTTCCTGGCTGCTGTGCCTCCTATCCCCCCAGCCACTGGCCTTGGCACAACCCCTCTGCAGTTCTTTCTTCAGAAAGCAGTGATGTAATTTGGCCCCACTTGTTGGTGGGGAGACCGAGACTGCCAGACATGTTCAGCCTGTACAGGCCCAGTGTACCTGCCCACATTCACTACAATTCCCTGTGGTTGATGGGAACTGTAGTTTTCTTTTTACTGCAGAGAGAGAGAGGAGAGGATATGATGCAATCCTTGCCCTTACACCTCCTCCTTGGCAGAGCAGACATGTTTTGAATTACAGAGACCAGGTCCATGAAAATTGAATGAGACTTTTCTCCTAAATGGAAATTTTCAAAATGTCATTAACTGTTTAGTGTTTGTGTAGGGAGGGGGTGTACTAAAGGGTGTTTTTTTTGCTTACTATCCCAGAATGTTTTTTTAATTACGCACTGTAGAGCTCAGGGAGTAGAGCTCTGTGACACCACCCCCCCCTTCACACATCTCACAGAAACAGAGCTAAAGCTGTCAACCACAGGCTGTGTGTTTGAGCTTTCTCCCCTGTTTTCTCTTGGTGTCAGGAAAAACTTGTCAGAAGTGAGTCATGCAGATAGAAGCAATGGGGCAGCAGACAGAACTATATTTTTGTTTATTTATTTCAGGTACGTATATAGCGCTGTTAATTTATTCAGCGCTTTACATATATATTGTACATTCACATCAGTCCCTAACCCTCAAGGGGCGTACAATCTAAGATCCCTAACTCACATTCATATATTAGGGCCAATTTAGACAGGATCCAATTAACCTACCAGCATGTTTTTAGGAGTGTGAGAGGAAACCGGAGTCCCTGAAGGAAACCCACGCAGGCACAGGGAGAAAATGCAAACTCCAGGCAGGTGATGTCATGGCTATGATTCAAACCAATGACCCTAGTACTGCCAGGCAGAAGAGTTAACTATTTATCCACTGTGCTACCCACAGAAATGACACTTAGTGCTCTGGATTGAGACACACTATAGAGAGATAGGCTTTCTTTATATATCATGTCTGAGGTTTACAATCACTTTAACATGCATGTGTTATCACACCATGGGAAGGGGGCCTCAAAAAGTCTTCAAATCATTGCAGTAGAAGTGATCTCTCATTAATATTATTTATAAAAAGCTTGCCTGAGCTGTCAGAAAACATAGGTCAGAGATCCTAATGCAGAACTCAAAAAAACCTCTTTACATGTCCTTGTTGATTTCCTACCTTCACTGAATATGTCATCCATTGTACATTCACATCAGTCCCTAACCCTCAAGGGGTGTACACTCTAAGGTCCCTAACTCACATACATATACGAGGGAAATTTAGGGACAATTAACCTACCAGCATGTCTTTGGAGTTTGGGAGGAAACTAGAGTCCCTCGAGGAAACCGGAGTCCCTGTAGGAAACCCACACAGGCACAAGAAACATGCAAACTCTAGGCAAGTGGTGCCATGGCTAGGATTCGAACCAACAATCCTAGTACTACCAGGCAGAAGAGCTAACCATTTAGCCACTGTGCTGCCCACAGAAATGACACTTAGTGCTATGGATTGAGACAAGTACACACTATAGAGCAGTGGTTCTCAACCTGTGGGTCACGATCCCTTTGGGGGTCGAATGACCCTTTCACAGGGGTCGCCTAAGACCATCGAAAAACACATATTTCCGATGTGTAAAGAGCAGCTACTGTGTTGAAAGCAGCTAATGTGTTGAAAGCAGCTACTGTGTTGAAAGCAGCTATTGTGTTGAAAGCAGCTACTGTGTAGAAAGCAGCTACTGTGTTGAAAGAAGCTACTGTGTAGAAAGCAGCTACTGCGTTGAAAGCAGCTACTCTGTTGAAAGCAGCTACTGTGTTGAAAGCAGCTACTCTGTTGAAAGCAGCTACTGTGTTGAAAGCAGCTACTGTTAGAAAGCAGCTACTGTGTTGAAAGCAGCTATTGTGTTGAAAGCAGCTAATGTGTTGAAAGCAGCTACTGTGTTGAAAGCAGCTACTGTGTAGAAAGCAGCTACTGTGTAGAAAGCAGCTACTGTGTTGAAAGCAGCTAATGTGTTGAAAGCAGCTACTGTGTAGAAAGCAGCTACTGTGTTGAAAGCAGCTATTGTGTTGAAAGCAGCTACTGTGTTGAAAGCAGCTAATGTGTTGAAAGCAGCTACTGTGTAGAAAGCAGCTACTCTGTTGAAAGCAGCTACTGTGTTGAAAGCAGCTAATGTGTTGAAAGCAGCTAATGTGTTTAAAGCAGCTACTGTGTTGAAAGCAGCTACTGTGTTGAAAGCAACTACTGTGCAGAAAGCAGCTACTGTGTTGAAAGCAGCTACTGTGTTGAAAGCAGCAGTATTGGAGGTAAAACGACACGTCATGAATTATAATTACTGGGTAAATAATTTTATGGTTGGGGGTCATCACAACATGAGGAACTGTATTAAAGGGTCACGGCATTAGGAAGGTTGAAAACCACTGCTATAGAGGGATATGCTTCCTTCATATATCATGTCTGAAGTTTACAATCACTTTAACATGTATGTGTTATCACACCATGGGAAGGGGGCCTCAAAAAGTCTTCAAATCATTGCAGTAGAAGCGATCTCTCATTAAAAATGCAAAAATGTTGCTAATGCCAAAAAATGTTGACTTTGTATTTTAAGAGGGTCTTGAGAAGAGTCCTATAACTAGCCAATTATTGTCTCCGTACAGGCCTCATTACTCAGTTAAGTATCTGGCATGTCATTCGGTAGAAAGAGCGCAATTGATCATGAATAATTTTCACTTTATTGGCCCAATGTATTTCACCGTAAAATGATTATAAAACAAAGAGACTTTTCTGCGGAATATCACATACGACGGTCTCCGTTGTACCCGCGATTGTTTTTCCATTAAATTTCACAGAAAATGGTAATGGGAAATGGCACGCAGTAAAATATGTTTCAAAATGAGTTTATATTTACTAAATTTAATTAAGTCACACAACAAAAAAAATTAATGTGAGCAAATCAACAAAAATAAATGATACATTTCTTACATCGGTGAACTGACGTCGATGGCGGGTTTTATGCCTGAAGAACAAGATTACACCATATTCGTTATCTCTCCTGTGATATTAATATTCTTTTTTTTTTTTCTTTTTTTTTTTTATTCCCCCATCTAGCGGTTTGACTCTTCTGTGTTGTAAAAGAGTGAACTTCATGATAAATTAAAACGTTAGTCTTTTATTCCTCTTTAAAGGTGTCGACGTTTAGCTTGTTTTGTGGATTAATGGAGCTTGTCGTTTTCAATTTGCGTCTAATTTATTTTACTTTGTTTATATTTGCAGAGCTTGAAAACAATAAATATGTGTATGGATAACTATGCTACGCTACAGCTGGCATCGGGAAAGAAAATTTCGGAAGAGATGTGCACAACCAACCCTTCCTGGACGGTCCGCCGTACAAAACAAGACAGCCAAAATTTTCCAGGACAGGTTTCCCGGTAGCCACTTCTGCATACAGCAATTCTATTTTTTAATGCCAATAAAGGCTAAAAAAAATACTAAGAAAATCTTAACCTCTTCACGCCGGCCGAACGCAAATGTGCGGCCTCCCGGTGTCTGGGCCTAGACGCCGAGCAGCCGCACATTTGCATTCTATTAACCTCCTTGGCGGTATGATTATTTCAGATTTTTGGTGCTGAAAGCGGTACCGTTATTTTGCATGGAAATATGTAGTTTTTTTATTGTAGGCTGTAATTTTTAGGAATAACTCACTGAAATCTGTCCGAACAAGAGTCTAGTAAACATCCCGGGTATGATAAAATGTGAAACACAAAATCA